TAAAAATAACACCATCTATATTTATTGCACTAGTAAGAATACGTTTTTTCCCGCTAATTCACGGACAGGTGAAATCAGGACTAGCAGAGCCATCTATGGACAGAGATATTTCACAAAAATATAAAAAATGAGTACTGTATTTCCCCCATTTTCTGTTCATTTTCCCCGGTAGCAATGAGTTAAGGCGAGCCGAAATCAATAATAAATGACGAAATTTACATCAATATGGCGTTGGTTAATGCAATGGGGAATAGTATATGTCATTATTTTACAGCACTAGCACAGACACTTATTCAGACGATTAAAAAAATCAATGTTGAAAACATAACGGTATGCACGCATGGGGAAGAAAAAGAAAGGAAAAGAATCGCCCATGGTATACTTACAGATTTGTTTTTGGAGAGAAAAGCTGGTTCTTGTAGGAGGCTTGGAGTTTGTGTTGCAAGCTTGAAAGAAGCAGCATCCCACCGCTGCCACCATTTTGTGAGGTGCTTGTTGTCACTGCTGCCCACCAATATGTCAGGGTTGGTTGATGGAAACTCACGGCCTGGTCTCATTCTTTATTGTTGGCAGTGTCAGTAGCGTAGCCGGCAACGAATAGGCCCGGCAAGGTGGGGGGCCCTGGAGGGTGACCCCCCAGGAGGAGGCCGTGAACAGGAGCGTGACTCGAGGAAGAGTGATTGTCCAGGTCAAGGTTGCAGGCAAAGGTCAAGAGGGATGTGGGCGTGGCTTAGGTCAGTACGGCGGCGGTGCCGTCTTATTGGTCACCCCTGCTAGTTGGAGGGTGTAACAATGAAGGCTTCTGACCACTCTGAAAGAGTGGGAGGGAAGGAGAAAGAGAGAATGAGTGAGTGAGTGAATGAATGAGTGAGAGAGAGAGATGAGAAAGAGAGAGAAATGAGTGAGAGAGTGTGTGAGAGAGAGAGAGAGGATGGTGGGAAGAGAGAAAGAGAGGGGGATGAAGAGAGAGAGGGGGGGAGGGAAGGGGGGAAAGAGAGAGAGAGAAATTAGTGAAAGAAAGAGAATGAGGGAGGAGAGAGAGAGAGAGAGAGAGAGAGAGAGAGAGAGAGAGAGAGAGAGAGAGAGAGAGAGAGAGAGAGAGAGAGAGAGGGAGGGAGGGGGGAAGAGAAAGAGAGAGAGAAAGAAAGAGGGATTGAGCACCTCACACACTCTCTCTCTCTCTGTAAAAGGCATTAGAGAGGACCTTTGTACAATGGTTTGCAGGGGTAGTCCTAGTTCTATAACAGCTTTACTCTTTATTTATAAAGAGTACTATAAAGTGAAGGAAACACACGAGACGAGTCTTAGGGTAAGCGCTGAGCGTGGGGTCGCGTGGTCCTGCCCTCAAGCCCAGAGAGGCCAGAGGATAGACCTGGTTATGCTGCTTGCTGAGGAACGACTGAGGGGTCAAACGAGGTCAAATAAACTCATCTAAGTCCTCGCTGAGGCGCTGGTTCTTTACTGGTCTATGTTTAATGGTGTGGAGGGGGGTGAATTAGTTTCATATCAATAAAATTCAAACGGTCTTACTGATTTTCTTCAAAATTTTGTTCATTTTAGCATTCTACATCTTTGGTATAAAATTTGTGGAAATTCCTTTTTATAACATATGTCTTTTGTTTACCGCTTTTGGCCCACACTGATGCATACTGTGCAATGAAAAAAATCAGCATAAACATCGATAAAATCCATAGAGTGACGTGAGCTTTTAAAAATTCTCGGTCCCGTTTTTTTGTATTTTTTTTTAGGAAACTAAGGCAAATTTTGAAAAAAAGCTCACGTCAATCTCTTTGGATTAGTGGGAACAGCGAGCTGTCTCTCAAGCCATTTCACGTGTCGATCTACCGGAAGTGAGAGAAAGTGAGGTCAGGTCACCCAGCTGCCCAGGCGGGTTCCCTGATTAATGACTGACACACCGAGGTCAGGTCAAGACGGGAAATGCACGATAAGACCTCTTACACGAGCAGGTAAGTCCCACTTCTTTTAGTCAGTATTGTTTTTTAGTTGTGGCCGTCACCGTTTGTACGATAGCATCCTGCTCAATTTGTTGACGATCTTTTAGTCATTGCAACGCGTAGATCTTCCCTCGAAAATGAACGTCAACAAAGATCCCTCGTAATAAACTTAATAACCTTTGCTCGCGTTGTATGGTGTAAAATTTCGCTCACTGACTCGATGGTAAATTTGTCTTATTCCCTATCACGTGATGACACCGAACTGTTAGGTTTGGTTTATCGATTACTACCAAACCAGCGCTAATCTGTGTTTAGATTATATGAAAGGTCTTGGTGGTTTCATTGCAAAGCAAAATAAAAAAAATAAACTCTCGATTATAGACCTCGGCTACCTTAAGGGTGACATGTTAAATCCGATTCTTGATTTATTTTATGGCCACGAAATCACTTTTGGACATTCTAATTACCAAAGGCAACAAAGGTTATAACGTAGTTATCCCTAATAAAGCTGATTATATAAGCAAAGTTTATTCCCTCCTGAATGA